AAGCTGGTCCAAACTTAGTGAGTATATACATGTATGTACGTGTAATTAATAATGATACTGAGGCCACAAGGAACAACATATTAATATAGGTTTCGTTAATCTTGGTAATACTAATCGAAAATACTGTACGCATACCCCTTGGCACTGTTCTCTATTCCTTCATTGTTGTGCAACAAAGAATTGTATGTAGTAGCAATCTTAATAGCAGCCAGAATTTTTTGAATGTCACACTACAGTAATTATTTGTGTCAGATACATCTGTAGATCAATTACAAATTCAGCACTGACATGCCCAAAAACTGGATGGTGCTGCATCATTTACTGCACATATATATAGCACGAAATTTCTGAGCTGCCATCCTGCACCATGGTATTCAACTGATTTTCAAAGAGAAAATCTTGTGATCGGTGTATAAGTAAGATCGACACAATCAAAGGGTTTGATGTTCAAAAAAGCTAATGCATATGATACGACATGAAATATGAATGCATATACATTTATGATAGCTATGAAAAACTACTATTACAAATAGCCAGAAACATTTTGTAAGACTTAATTGTTGATTGAAACTCAGCATTCATTCACCCGACTCACTTGAATTGGTCCATTCTCTATTGCTACAGACACTGTAAGTTGACTGATCCACAGAACTAGCAGCTTTATCCAACTGACTCAGAAAATCATCAGGCAGCTATAATGTGTGAAGAGTCAATTATTATTTTAATGGAGTCTTACTATATTTATAGCCTTTTCCTGTTTACCTTCACTGCTAGCAATAAGAAAGCAACAAAGCAGTACAGCCAGAAGCAGGAACAGTCTTTCCATTGAAGTTTTCATCATTGTCCTTATATTATAATGATGATATAGCCTCAGAATACAATATAATTTATATGTATAGACCCCTTTCAGCGAGAAGTAGCAGCTTGTGAATATCATTAATTTTGCAATGAATATCATTATATCTCAGTTACGGTATACGCCCACATACAATAATTGGCCGCCATGTTTTACGTCAAGCAGCAAGTGCTTTCTGTGTCCTGGAGATCTTGGTCACTACATTTTGAAGCTAAAAACTATTCTAGAGTCAAGAAAGATGCCAAGAGAGCCAACCTAGGAAGTATAGTGCAATACTCTTGTTGTATGAGCCTGCTTTCCTCTTTGGGCTGTGACAGAGAGTCAAGAACTGATCGTTCTGGCTCTCCCAGACTTCTTAAGTCTTCAAAATATAGTCCTGAGTTCAGCACAACAAAAGTTTTATTGGCAAAACAGCTCTACTTTGCACATCAGCCATTGGAACTCTGCATAACTTTGACGTAAAACATGGCGGACAAAAATTCACTCAATATTATTTCTTTGTATATACGGTATCACAAACTAATTCTTGCCTAAAGGGGTCTATAATGATAATGAGGGGATTGGCTGTGTTGCCATTGGTTACAGTATTTTACTGTAAATAGTTCTAACTTTCTGCTGTGAGTTTAGTCTAAATACAAGACAAGGACAAAGATCATATCGGCAGTTCTTACAGTATACTTGACTTGAAACTGGATGTAAATTGCTTCTGAAAAAACTCCAGACCTGTCAATAGTGCGAAGTCATATTTATAATAACCCAAGTTGCCTTAAATGAAAAGGTGGCGCAGTGTATTTCTCTCTCAGTCCCCATGCACATGATGCACTTGCTGACATTCAAGACAACCGTTGTGTTGCAGGCTTGCAGCCAAGGCCAGGTACGGTTGCAACAAAAACAGTCATGAAGAGTATCGTGTGCACTCACTGCCGTATATAGTTTTATTATTAATAATATTATTGATTAAAATAATAGCTTATCTAAAAGCAAAAAAAACTACAAAACAATGTAGCATCAAAACAAGCGTAACAATGTAAAAATATTCCTATAATTGATTTCACCACCTTGCATGTACAGCTGGGTTCTTATTAAGACTTATGAAGATTCTCTCTACCTTCTACTGCTTCTAGAAAAGTCTTTAGACAGTATCTCTATGTTCTTTCGCTGTTAGAAAGCTCATAAATTTGTTCCATGTTCAAACCGCCATTTTGTTTGCCGTGACCACACCCACTTACGTAGCGTGGGCGGGTGGTTGCTAAGGCTTGTTATTTCTCCAATACAACGTGTATAGAAGAAATGAAGTGTTGACATACAATCAAATATATATATATCGCACGTGAGTGAAATCAATTATAGGACGACCTGGGGGCTACGCCCCCAGGTCGTAAAAACTAGCAAAAACCTGTGAAAAAAGTATAACTTTTATAACTAAAGCACAAACTAACTGAACAGTTTATCTAGTCTCTCTTCGTTGAGTGACACAGTGAGCATGACTGCAAAGGAAATCAGAAATCCAATAGCAATCACAAAGCCATGACCAATTTTCTGATAGGTTGTATACTCAAGTTGCTCAGTGAGATCAGGATCATGAGAATGGAATGAAGATAGCTTTAACTCCGGGAGCTATATATAATATACATTTAATTAGCACTTTCATGCTATGTAGACAAAGACTTACCAGATCAGCAAGAGCAATATACAGAAATGAACCAGCAGCTAAAGCCA